TAGTTCAGTCTCTAAAATCTTGGAATCTATAATTCATAAAATACTTTATTCTCACCTCGTGCAACATGATCTTATTTATAGGCTTTAGAGTGGGTTCCTGCCCAAACATAGTACTGTCAATTACAATGAAGTAATTGTACTACAAGATGTATTTCAAAATTCAAAAAGATGGCGTTATAGTAGTGAAAAAGTAGGAAGTACACCGGAGGTGGATTTGATTGTTTCTTACTCGTTCTTGGTCTGTGAAGTGACATTTGAGTGGTTTAAAAGTTGTATGAACAGTCAGAGAACGTCCAGAATGACGGAAAAACCTGAAACACAGACACTAATTACCACATTTGCAACAACTAGCACGCCAGCGAAAAATTTGGTGAAACAAGATGGCGCCGGAAAAAGGGATAGGCCAAGCAGTACGGGATCCAATCCTGTAAAACACACATTAAAAAAGTCCAAGTTGAAAGTGAGTAATAGCACTACGTTCAGTGAGCACGAATTTTCCGACGATGAAGTCTCTGACACTATTGAAAGTGAATATGATAGCACTACTGATATGGCCACAGAAACGTACGAGGATGTGGACTCTGATCTCGATCTAAAGCAATGGCTCAAATGCATGTTTGTTAAATTTGATAGACGAGTGGTGTCTTTGACTGCAACTGTTAAGCAGAACGCTAAAAAGATTGGTAAACTCTCAGATAAAACGGCAGCTCTGGAATTAAAGAATGATACATTGGAACGTAAAGTTTCAGTCCTGGAATCTAAGGTGAAGGAGCTGGAGATAGGCGACAACCATAATAACCAGTACTCTAGGAAGAATAATATTAGAGTGTTAGGCATCGAGGAAGGGGAAAATGAAAGTGTTGATACGTGCATGACACTCGTGGCAGACAGCCTCTCTGAGCATAACATACCTATAACAAAGGATAAGATTGAGATCGCCCATCGTCTAGGAGCCAAACGCCAAGGAATGACACGGAGCATCATAGTGAGATTCAAATTTAGAGGATACAAAGAAGAAACTATGACCAACAAAAAGAATCTCAAGGACACTAACATTCGTATATATGACGATCTCAGTCCAAAAAACAACGCTCTATTATACCAACTAAGGCACCACAATGATCTTGAACGTGCCTGGAGTTCAAACGGCAAACTTCTGGGCAAACTGAAGCCTAACGGAAGAATTATAACATTCAGCATTGGGGATAATATTGACGCTACAATAAGAAGTGCAATGTAAATATCAGCCTTTGAGGTCACAGCAGGGACACCTACAGACCTTTGCTACAGTACAAAGCAAGGTCCATATTCTTAACAGTGTATGTGATCACAGAAACCAGTTGGATCACGACAGGACGTGTTACACTGTATCACTTTGTATATAGTATATATTTTATTAATCCTCTCAGAGTTACATGGACATGTTTTAAATATGTCGACCTATAAACTGATTAAACTACAACAAACTTGACTATCTATCTTCCACTGTCATGGTACTGCATTTAAATCTCATTATTAGTGACTCTATGTGTGCTTTTTGACGTGTTGATGATACCCTCTCCCGTGCAAAATTATTCCTTGTTTGTTTACATCTGGTGACCTAGTTCCTCCTCAGAACTTCCGGTACACTGGTGTCATTGGTACACACATTTAATATTATGGAAATGTGGAAAATATGTCAAACTCTCCTATTTCGTCGTTATACTGCAGTTGATTAGCTTGAACCAGCTTGTCGAGAGGGTTGAACAACTCGTGGACTTTAAGGTAACATAAGCTCAGCATAAACAGAATGATCTGTTTATACAAACAGTGGAGATCAAGTGTTCTCATTTTCTTCATTTTGATTTTCAACTTTTTTTCAACTTCTGGCATTTATTATTTTGCAGTCAGTGCTGATACAGCAGGGACACCTACGCTACAGTATAATGCAAGGGCTATGTCCTAAACAGTGTACATTACAGAAATAGTTGGATCACGACTTGATAAGTAGTATCATCTTGTATATATACATATTATTATTTCTCTCTGATTTAGAAAATCTTCATGTACATGTTTTATCTATGTCATCCCATGCCTATGTATCCAGAGAATTTACATGTATTTCTGTAGGAATTACAGTCACAATTGTATGCTAATTATTTTGTACATCTGATAAATTTTCCTCATGCATATTGGCTACCAGTTTCAGTATTATCCACCAAAGGAAGTACTTTCCGATTCACATTAAACAGCATCTGCAAAGTTAATACTATATGTTTCACTATGCTCGTATTAAAACTCATATTATTGGCACTAGCCATTTATTGCATTATAATAACCTGCAAGTTCTCATTGCATGTGTGGGCATATATCTCACCTGGCCTTTTTAATTTCAGTATGTGTACATGGGGTATGGTGATCTCTCTCGTCATCAGTCCTGCAAGCAAGGGTATAGGATAGTCATGCCTGTTAGCTCACAACAATGGAGAATGGCAGTAGGGTGTTTCAACAGCTTCGCAATATATCCTCTTCACGAGTATCCTAAAGTTTCAACGGTGCACCCAGAATGTCTGCTCATTAGATTAGCAACTGTGTTTTTAAGCCTCCTACTGTTCAGTGGAGGCTTACATTTTAACCTTGACATTTGTTGTTTGAAATTCATTGCACTTGCCATCATTTTTGTGTGTCAAGTTTTGTATATTCTTGTGAAACTGTTTACACTTATTCTGGTCACTAGATCAATCCTTCTTTTACATTCAAACTGCATCCTAATTATTTTGAAACTTACCACTGTTGTGATGGCTTTGTGCTGTATTCCTGGATCATCATTGTTTATCCACAATCCAAGCCATTTATGTCATTACTTGATTACGCTATGCGGTGATGTGGAAAGCAATCCAGGCCCAAGTAATGATTTAAAAATTTTATTTAGTAATGTCAACAGCATTAAAGCTGACTCACTTACACGGCTGGATTTCCTCAAAAACTATGCAAAACAAGAAAATTTTCATTTAATAGCACTCTGTGAGACTGGCCACATATCCAATGAAGATCTGAGTTCGAACATCTTTAATATCAATGAATATGGCAAGCCAAAGTACTCAAACAACAAGGGTCGAGGTCTTTTACTTTGGAGTCATGACTCTATCGAGACTAAAATATGTGATCAGCATGTGAACGACGAACTCGCGAACTGTTGGGTAGAAATCCGGGTGAATTTCAAAAAATATCTGTATGGATTCTTTTATAGATCACCATCAATGTCAGCGAACGAAACTAGAAATTATTTTTCAAAACTCAAATTGAATTTAGAACAAGTGCTCATTGAACCCAATAATGGTGTTTTTCTCAATGGAGATTTCAATGCGAGAAATGATGCCTGGTATACTGATGACCATAATAATCTTGCTGGTACTGAACTGAAAAAACTGCTCACTGATCTTGGTCTATCGCAACTTGTTAATGAGCCTACTAGAATCACTGGCAACTCCAAATCATGCATTGACTTGTTGGTATCTGATTCTGAGCATCTCGTTTCTTTTAAAATTGATCCTCCAATTGGTAATTCTGATCACTGTTCTATTATATCTCAATTTAGTGTTAAAGTTCCACGCGAACCTTCAATTAAAAAAACAATTTTTTACTTCAAAGATGTGAATGCCGACTTATTAAATTCGAAGATAAGGGATTTTGACTGGAGCTTTATTGGAACTGATTCTGTTAACGAAGGCACTACAAAACTTGTGAAAAATTTTCTTACTATTATTAAATCAAATGTTAAAAATAATATTCGTTCAACAAGATTTGATGACCAACCATGGTTCAATAGTTCCATTAAAAATGAGATTTATAAAAGAAATAGGCTTCATCACAAATTCAAATCCACTGACAATGCAACATATAAAGAAAAGTATGTAACCCAAAGTCGCAAAGTCAAAGAATTAATAGAAACAGCTAAAAGTGACTACTTATCTAATGTTACTTTTAAAATTGAAAATTGTGATAAAAATTCAATTAATTATTGGACACTCATCAAAGACTTGTTAGGTAAAAACAGTATTTCTTCCATTCCAGTTTTATACCTGCCTAATAATGATGTTCCTGCATGCTCCAGTTTGGACAAATCTAATATGCTCATGAAATACTTTGTACAGAAAAATCTGATTGAAAATAATGCAAATCTTACACCTATTTTTCCAAGCAGAACCAATCAAATACTCCAAAACTTCAGAACTTCACAACAAGAGGTCTTTGAACTACTTAACGAGTTAGATGTACATAAATCTCCTGGTCCTGATGAAATCTCAAACAAGATGTTAAAAATGTGTGCCAGCTCTTTTTCATTACCAGTAAGCAACCTATTTAATAGAATACTTGACGAGAATATTTTTCCAGATATCTGGAAGGAGGGAATAGTTATTCCAATTTACAAAAAAGGTGACTCAACCATTGCCTCCAATTATAGACCTGTAACTCTCCTAAGTACTTTGTCTAAAGTTTTCGAACGCATTATTCATAGACATTTGCTTTCTCATCTTCTCGAGCACAATCTCTTGTATAAACTCCAAAGTGGGTTCTTACCTAAACATGGAACAACAAATCAACTAATAAATATTGTACATGATCTTCATCAACATATTGATAATAAAGAGCATATACGCTCAATCTTTTTGGACCTGAGTTCAGCTTTTGACGTTGTCCCGCACAACTTATTGATAACTAAATTAAAAGGCTATGGTTGTAACAACAATTTTATTAATCTCATTAAATCATACTTATGTGATAGGCGTATCAGAGTTAAGGTCAATAATAACTTATCAGAATGGTCCTCTGTTCAACATACAGATGCTCAAGAATCAGATACACAAATACATAATAACAACGCTCAGATCAAGCATTATAAAATTAACGCAGGAGTTCCTCAGGGTTCAGTGTTGGGACCCCTCCTATTTTTGATATATATCAACGACTTACCGGATGGTCTTGTTTCAAAGACTTTCATATTCGCGGATGACACCTCACTCCATAATCCTTTTGATGTAAATGAAATATTTCTCGATATTCATGAACCCATTCAAAGTGATTTGGACCACTTAGACCAATGGGCCGCAACTTGGAAAATGTTATTCAAAGCACAGAAAAGCGCTGATTTGATATTCACTGGACATAGAAACAATAATATTGAACCTCCTCCTCTGAAAATGAACGGGGAAATAGTCCCTAGATGTAATACTCATAAACACCTCGGACTTACTCTTGACCAGCACCTAAACTTCAACGCTCACATTGACCACTTAATTAACAAAGTAATAAGCCTGATGAGGCCCATGAAGAAACTCTGCAAGATCTTGTCAAGCAAGCACCTTGAAACTTTATATAATGCGTACATACTCCCTCATTTTGATTATTGTGACATCATATACAATAGTGCATCAGATACCAAATTGCAATCTCTTGAACGGTTACATTATAGAGCAGCATGTCTAGTCTCTGGAGCAATCCATGGCTCGAACACTAATAAAGTTCTCTCATCAATAAACTGGAAAACTTTATCCTCTAGAAGAGAGGAACATCTCAAAATATTTATTTTTAAAGCAAGATATAATAACTTTCCTCCTTTCATTTGTAATCTTGTCAGGTCCTATGAGAATGATATACAGGTGCGCTCACTAAGGAGCCACAGGGACTATAAGATTCCCCTTCAAACAAGCGCTTTGGCTAAGAAATCTACAATTTTTAAAGGTATGGCCCTTTGGAATAACCTTCCACCAGATTATAGAATTGGCCAGCCAATTTCAAGATTTAAAAGAATAGTAAGAGG